AGTTCTACTCTGCATAAGTATTATAGTTCTACTCTGCAAAAATACTACAGTTCATTAATATGTATTCAGATTTCGGCCTTCTGACATGGTAATAATTTTTGTCGACCTATAAAGCGATTGGCTAGCTATAAAGGGATTTATAAGACTTAAAAAGAAATTCTAATTTAGCGACTCATACTAAAATCTCCTATTAAAAAAAGGTCTGGCTTAATGCAGTGAAAATCAGGTACTCACACAATGCACCTCTTTAGCGTAATTGAACTACAGATAACTGTCCAGTTCCCTAAAATGTTCTTAAGAGCCGTAAGTCTTTTATATATTAACTGTAACAGCCTCAATTGAGTGACTATATTCTGTAATGATCTCTAGTGTCCTTTTGTTCCTCTAATATCCTTTGTATTGACATGCAGTTTCTTCAATGATCTTTTTCATTATAGAAGACACCTTTCCTGCAAATGTAAAATGTCAAATTAAGCAAAAACGCAACTTCATATTTATGTATATTTAAAATAATACTCTTGATATCGAGAGCTGTTGGCATAAGTCCATCTTCTTCAGGAGCTGAAAATTTTATCAAAACCGTACCCTATCGACAACCAGTTGGCATAAGAGCATTTTCAAGAGAAGCAAAATTTTCGAGCTGGAAAGAAAAATTCAGAAGAAAAAAAGTATTTTCTACTAAAAATATCTTATTTTCAGTGGAGTATTTTACCACAACAGGTTAAAAGCAAAGTTTTAGGATAACGTGATTACTCGTTTTTGTATGTTTGTCATCATTGGTATTTGGGGAATTAGAATATTCCTTTTTAACAAGGTAAAAACAGTAATTTTCGTTTTGACTAATTACATTTATCGAAAAGAAAATGCATTTAATAATCCTCAATATAAATGTAAAAATTTTTAAACATTAGCTGGATTCTGAAAATTGTATTAATTTTTCGTGATAATGAAATTTTTGATGCTTTAAATATTTTGCGATTATAATCCTTTCAGAGAATAATTAGAAACATTTGCAATCGTTCTTCACTTTCAGGGATGGATAACTGAAAAACTGTTTATATTACTTTATGCTACCACAAATTTCAACTGGAAAACTATTTACGTTACTTTATGCTGCTAAAACATTTCATGTGAAAAACTATTTATATTACTTTATGTTACTACAAATTTTAACGCCATAAATGTATGTAAATTTGAGCTTTAATTAGAAGATTTGATTTGAACTACTTCTAAACTCTAACCAATATAAATGTACTTCTAAATATATTCCAGGGATTTGCTACCTCTTAGAATTATATCAACTTATCTTGAAAGTTTAAGCAACCAGAGAGAGGTAAAAGCAACTTAACAGCGTCATTTTTCTGTTACTTGCAAAATAAGAGAGTAGAAACTAGATTAGCACCAACACGGAGAAAATAGCACAGCTTAATAAACTTTAATTATATTTAAGTTTTTATTATGTAATTCTCAACATTTTAATGCTATATTGACTTCATATATAACACCACTGTATTTAGGCATTTATCTAATTCTAAATTTTTAATTTTTATTTGTTGCATCTATTTATGTATTTCTATATTTAATTTTTAATGTGTAATTATCAAAGTTCTAAAAGTTTATTGAATTTTATATATAACAACACAGTTGGTAGATGATTCCACCAGTTGAGCTTAAAAGCTTAAAGGCGGTTCAGCTGATCATCTGATGGTAAATGAATAAATAAATTATATTTAATACCCGAAGTAACCTTTATAAAACATAAAAGAGAAATGCCTGTTTTAGCGGCTCATACTAAATTTCCTACTTGAAAAAAGTCTATCTTAATGCAGTCAAAATCAGATACCAAGGAATGCACCTCTTAAGTGTAATTAAGCTACAGATAACTGGCCAATTCACAAAATGTTCTTAAGTGCTAGAAATCTTTTATCTACGTATGCCATGTGCAAACACGTATTTAGCTATTTGGAAATCTTTTAAACATTTCTTTTGTTTAGTTATTAGTTTACATAATTCTGGACAAGCGAGTAAAGAAGAGAAGAAAATAATGGGGCAGAAATGTAATGTTTAAATGGCTAGAGCAATGATAAAAGTACTTTTCGATTAACATTTGCTCCTCGTTCTAATTTAGCAAGCAACAATAAATCCTTTGATCATAAGTTATTTTGAACCAGTAATGTACTAACTCTTTTTATACTCGAATATTTTAATATATTTGCCATTTCAGTTTCTTGTTCGTTTTTCTTACGCCTTCTTCTTTCTTGCATTATTAAACAATTTACTTTCACTTTTGCCATATTCTTGAGGGCTAATTTCAGTTTTCTGTATGGAACAGCTTAATCTATTAAAATTTAATTTAACGAGAAGCGTAAACACTTTTGCGTCATTAAGCATAACAGCTTTTCAATCCATTGTTGTTCCAAAGAATGTCTTTCATATTACACCACAAAAGCTAATTCATTTAGAATTATTTATTGTATGTAAATTCAAAGGAATTGCACTAATATAACCAATTCGAACTAATATAAATAATCCTTTGTTTTCTCTCAAACTCTCCACTTTGACTTTATTATTCCTAATATATGAAGCTTAAAAGCAAAAGTTTTCAACACAGTGTTAAATTATTTTGTTACTAAAATATTCTTTTAAAAATTATAGGCGTTTGTAGTGCATTTACAATAAGGAAAAATTAATATCTAATTATTTTTTTTTCCTTTTCCTTTTTTTATTCACCGTTTTGAAACTCAAACAAAAATTTACATCTGAAGTTAAATGTTGTATAAAACATCACTGCGTGAATTACTTCTGTAAACACTTTTTTCTTTCATCCTAGGTTTATTCCAATATTTGTGCATACAATGAATTATTGTGCGGGTAAAAAATGTTTTTATTAGGCAGTAAAAATGAATGTCTGCAAGCGATAAAATATGTTTCTCGGTAATTTTCTTCTCTTGGTGCGAATTCAACTGAACGTATCTGGATAATTTTATCTCTAGAATTTAAAACAAAATCTCTCTTTTGTAGTTTTAAGTTAGGGATTATGCACTTTCCGATAGCAACTTTTTTTTTCTTTCGAGTTACTTTAACCTCAGCTTTTTGTCATTTCGTGGAAGATAATTTGATTATTTACATCAGTCACAGCTGCAGTTAGAATTAAAGAAATTTATATGATCGATAAATGAGCTACAGATGTAATAACTAAATACCATATATTCTGGCTTATAATGTGCACTTTTAATGCAAAAACTAAGATCGAAATTTATGCGTGCGGAGTGTACCCGGATATAAAAAATAATAGATAAAAAATTAGATTTTTGCGGTACTTAACTGCTGTTTATTTAGAAATGACATACTTTATTAACTTAAAAAATTTCCATTATCGGTTAACAGGAAACTTCACCATATTCGTCTTCCATTATATCTTCTGGGAAATTATCGAATTCTTTTTCATTTTCACTATCATTGTTACTTTGATCCATCAATAAATAATCATCATCCGTTCCCTCTTTCACCAACCTCAAACATCCTTGCTGCAGCACTATTTCATTTTCTTTTGCGAAATGATTGACTTTGGATTTAAAACCAGCATTGTGTTGTTTCGTTTGTCAGGAGTATATTTACTGCTAAAAGGAACACTAATAATGGCAATAATGGCAAATATCACATCCATCCTCCTCCCTTATATTTATTTAATATGTCAATAAAATACAAAATAACTATTTATTAATGAATATAGTACAAAAATAAAAATAATAATTCAGTTTAGCATTAAATTTTTATTCATTTCACTTCATTTCAAATTCAAACTGTCCAACAAAAACTGGAGTCGGAGTCGACCTGTTTTTAGCGACTCCAGCCGACTCCGACTCCTTTTACCCAAAAAATCTGCCCGACACCGATTCGACTTTGACTTCACAGCTCTGGTTAGCAAAGATTAAAATCTGTTCCATTCTACGGTTTCGTAGATTTGGAGACGCTTAAACAATCAGCAAATACAGCCTTCAGTCATGACGGTGAAGACATCTTCACGGCAAAGTACTAAAAGTACAGCTTCCGACCCGGTCGATCGCTCTGAACACAACACACACAAGATACTTTCACGATAAACTGCTACTCCGCGTACAAGCAGGGTTTATACAGCTTTTGATCTGCCTTCGAGAACATTTTGGGAAAAACCGGTAAGAATTCGTTCTAAAATGTTCTCGCTCCGTCTATGGCATATAACCAATTTTGTCGCCAAATGGACGATTTCACATCAAATCTGGCAATCCTGTCTTGCTTTGCCACTTTCTGGTAACCCTAAACTCGCTTTCCGGGGAAGCTATGTTACCGCAGCCGGGCGTATCGTAACAATATTATCATTAAATAATTACTTAAAATGTTTTTCATCTTAACTAGCAAAATTTCTGATGCCAAAAGGTAACGATGAATTGCATAGAATTTGTATAGATTTTCTTCTTCTAAGCATAGTTTCTGAGGCGATCATATGAATGTTGTTAATGTTTCGATATTAAATAATAACGAACTCACATATATAAACAGTTTAACAGTAATAGTTAGCAGATTCAAATTTTTATATTTATTAATGTAGAATCGGTACTTACTGTCTAGGAATATGATGTCTATAAACTTACTTCTTAGGTGGCTGTCTAGGGCAATAAACTAGTCCGATTATGTAAAATTGAATATTTAATGAACATGAATAGTTGCAACAAACTACAGTAATACATACGTAAAGAAAATAGATGAATTTACATAGAGATATATACAGATGAAGAATCGACTGTTTTTTCATGTAAACCTTCAGTCGCGTCATCGTCTTAATGGCGGAATCGTGACTTCCATCTCGAAAAAAGTAAAGATTTATTCTCACAGCTTGTCGCGTCATCCGATTATAATAAACGATGTCATCCCACATTAATTTTTTTTGTAATACTTGCTATTGGTAAAATTATGTCGTTTAATGTAGATTTAAATTCTAAATTATTATTTTTTGCTTTTAGATTTTCCTTTATACTGTGACTGTCGATTACGCTGGCTGAAGAATTCAACTTTGAGCCAAAACACCATTGTGCTGCAAAATTTAAAAGATGCGATTTGCAGAAGACCTCCGTATCTGAGAGGAACTCCTTTCAAAGACTTGTCCAAAGAGCATTTGATTTGTTAAAAGTATTTTAATGGTTTTAATGGACGTATCTTGAGTAAAAGTACTGCTTACTTTCTGTATTTCTGTTGTTTCAAAGCAAAGTATCAATTTTAATAAAAATATTTTGGGTACTTATGTCTTGAGAATCCTGTTCATAACACGAGAAAGATGGATCCAAATTATGGGAAATATAAAAATTGCCTTATTATGAATAGTAGTGAGTATGCAAAGTCTTCCATGTATTTCACATGTTCCCATCAAAATTTTTTAAATTCTTTTATATTTCATTAATAGCACTTTCAACAAAGAGTTAATAATTCTCTTTACATTTTGGACAAATTTAAATATTATCTTATTTTTCAGATAAATATTCTATTAAAAATGAAATGACGACCTTATATATTGCTTGGTATATTCAATTTAATACTTATTCATTTGTACTTTACTTGCGCTAAGGACACCATGTAACTTCCTTGTACAGCTTATTAAATAATACACATATTTTCCTGCATTTTGTTTAAACTTATTTCATTAGAGATGTATTTTTCATTCTCACTTAGCAAGACAAAAATGCATTAAAACTCAAAGCATCTTCATTAAAAATAGAAACATACAGAAAACCTAACCACCAAATACAGTTAAAAGAGCTAAATTTTTTTTTCTACTATTAAAATTACAGTTTCTACGTAAAAACAAGCAATTCGTCCAGCGGGCAGGAAGACAGATTTTTCCGTGCACACAACTGAACATTTACTTCTGGTCCCACTCGGTAAAAAGATACTGAAGTTGGTACACAAATTGACTTAATTCACTATTTTAATAAGAGTTTCAAATACAAACAAATGGCGGCCTCTTTAGGATTAGTATCACATAAACTTTTAAATTGTTGATAATTCAATAACTATTGCATGCAGATTAAATGAACGCATGAAAACCTTAACTGGAATATAAGAACAACATAATTCAATCAATTTTAAATCAAAAAATGCATAATTTACCAACATTTTTTATAAGAATAAACATATTGAGCTCACCGATCCGGATAACAGATTGGGTATAGATGTATTTGTATACGTTTGGTGCAGCCGACTGCAACCAGAAAAGGAAATGCACAACTGCACGCTATAGCTGTCCCATATACAAAATTTCAAAGTTTGTGGGCTACTAACAGGAGATAAAGATGTGCGTCTATTAGGTGCCTCCATAATAAAACGATCTTTTTCCTTACTTCTGGCCTTAGTGTTTTTTAAATGGCCGAATACTTTATTTAATACCCATTAGCTTTGACTCACTACACAGCCCGAAAGTGGTGGCCATTTCATGATGGAAGTACCTAAATACGTGGCCACCGTTGCCTCCCATGAAGGGGTGGACAGTTACAACTATGCCTTCTCCGGGATTCGAAACCGGGTCCATGGCTACGGCAGTTAGGGTTAACCACTATACCGGCTGGGCATCCTTCTGGCGTTAGTAGTGGTGAACGCCTCAAAATGGCTAGTAACCACCATTATGGGGGGAAAAAATCAAATTCTTTGAGTTTACAGTTAATAAATTGATATCATTGATTCTGATAAAAAATTAAAATTAAAAAAATATTATGGCATAACACTTTCCAGAGTAGTGGCCTCAAACTCAAATTGCATGCCGGCCGAATGTATGGTTTGAAACCAGAATTTTGTTTTTTAACAAAAAATTTTTATTAATTAAAAAATACTTAAAGTAAATTTTAAATTACCTCTACTAAATATTTTTCAAATCGTAATGTTATAATATCGCAAAGGGAAAAAATAGAAATTTATATATAATTTCTGTAAAAATTTTTTGTTGGTTACACTTTAAAGCAATTAGCAGCTAAATACTAAACCCTTAAACTGACATTTCTTGCAATTAATTTTTAATCACTAAATAATTACTTTATTCTAAACTAAAAATAAAAAAAAAATTATGAACACTTCCTATGTTTTCAAAGAATATTTACCAGGTGGGACAAAATTGAGAATTAATCCTAGCAAGCTAGTCTTTTTCTCTTATTTGCTAAAATTTTCTTCGAAGCATAAATAAAAGTACGCATGTTTGTACGTAAACAATTATAAACTTATTTATTTCTTACTACAGCTTGACACATGATAGCATTTCCATTTCTGATTATGCTCGTAGTCTTGGAGAGAAATTCATAGAAATTATCTTCGTCACGGTTTTTAAATGTTCATCAGTCACTCGATTTCTTATTAATTTCCAACTGTGAAAAAAAGCTGTTCCCATATAAATATATTTCCAAACAAAGCAATTATTCTTAGTTCGAAAATTCGCCACATAGCTTATTTACTTCTCTATACGAAGTAAAAAAAAATATTGCCATCGCGAAAAATTTCGGGTATCATATTTCAACGAAAATATCCATTTTGACCACTATCGAATGCAATTTAACGATATTTTTGTGTGATATCTGTACGTAAGGATAGGATAAAGGATTCTTTTCCCCAAAACGGATTGTAAAATGTATTTAAAATGGATTCAAAAGAGATTTTCGTGACGTCTGGACGTACGTACGTATGTATCTCCCTTAGCTAAACAACGAGTGGCCTCAGGAAGTTGAAATTTTGTATATAGAATTGATATAACTTGTAGTTATGCACCTGAAGTTTTGTTTGCAATCGGCGGTACCAAAAGTATACAAATCTCTCTCTCTCTCTATATATATATATCTACTCTTTTACTCGGCTCAGTTTTTATTAATTCTAATGTGCTAGTAAATTATTATTTTTTTGCTTTAAAAATTATTGAAGTATGTTGTTCTTATGTTCCGATTAAGGTATTTATGTCTTAAGTTAATTTTCACGCAATAGTTGTAGAATTATGAGCAATTTAAAAGTTGTTTAAGTGCGGCTAAGCCTAAAGGAGCAGCCATGTTTGTTTACATTTGAAACTCTTAGTAGAACTAAATTACGTCAATTTGTGAACTAACTTCAGTGTCTTTTTGCGGAGTGGGACCAAAAGTAAATTTTCAGTTTTGTGCACCAAAAAATATGTCTTTTTGCTCGCTGGCGGAATTGCTTGTTTTTACTTAGAAACTGTAATTCTAATTGAAAAAAAAAAAAAAAATAATAAAATTGTTTTAACTGTATTTGATGTTTTATGTTTTTCTATATTTTTCCAATTTTTAATGAAGATATTTAAAAGTTTTACGTATTTTTGTCTTGCCGCGTGGTGACACCTTAATTAATTAAATGAGAAATATATCTTTAATGAAATTCGAGGAACTAAGTTTAAATGAAATGCAACAAAAGTGTGTATAATTTAATAGACCATACAAGGATGTTATGTGGTATCCACATCAGATGTCTTGAGATGCATGAATTAAATGTTAGAAAAATTTATATTTTCAAATGTTTGAGTAAATTTCATATTATACTGAAAGTGAATTAGTTCCATTTTAAACTTTTTTTGGTGTTATTTATGACGGTTTTTAATGGAAATGAAAACAATATAAACTCTGACTTCAAATAACTGAAAAACTTGAAATCTTTGCAACACTGTATTTGCAAAATATACAGAACTGAAATGCATTGCTATTCGC